GGGTTTCAGTGGAGCTTCCAGTCTAAGGCAGACTAGAAAGAATGTACTACAGGCAGCTATAAAAACAAAAGAATCTGTCTTGGTAGAAGTACAGTCAGAACTCTCCTGCTTTGGACATGTTATCAGGCGGGACCACTCACCCCCTAGAGAAGGACATCATGCTTAGTAAAGAGGAGGGGTAATGGAAAAGAGGAAGCCCCTCAACAAGATGGATTGACAAAGTGGATGCAACAATTGGCTCAAATATAACACCAGTTGTGAATCTGATGCATACTGGGCGATGTTTCATTCTGTTGCACATAGGATTGCTAAGATTCAGAACCAACTCGATGGCACCTAACAACAAAAGTGGTGGAAAGGATGGGAAAGGTTTATTTCTTATGGAAAATTAACTTTCTATTTAGGTGATGGGAAAAAAATCACCATTGCTTCAGGTAGGGTTGCTCAGCCAATTAATATGGTTACCATCAATAAGTTGTACACCTGTAAAAAGAATGGCAAACACAAGTTGTGTGATAGATATCTTTACAACAAAAAAAGAGGAATTGCTGAGGTTACTGATATACAGCCAGATACCTCATGGGATTTGGTTCCTCATTTTGGAGGCTTAGGGTAATGGTTTCATGGGACATGCCAGTTAATTGGCCTATAGCATGTTTAGTGTTTCTGTTCTACCTTCTAGTTGCTATGTAGTGCCTGGGGTCTTAAAAATGTGCCAACAGCCATTCTAAGGTACAACAATTAGTTCTATTTACATGGAGCAACAGAAAGAAGGAAAGTCAAGAACATTGTTGTTGTTGTTGTTGTTAGGTGCCATCAAGTTGACCCTATGCACAACAAAACGAAACACTGCCCAGTCCTTCACCAACTTCACAATCGTTGCTACGTTTGAGACCATGACTACTGCCACTTGGCCAATCCATCTCGCTGGGGTTTTCCTCTTTCTCTCTGGCCCTCCATTTTACCAAACATGATATCCTTCTCCAGTGACTGGTCCCTCTTGACAATACCTCTGAAGCATGAGAAACGAAGTCTGAACATCCTGGCTTCCAGAGAGCATTTTGGATGTACTTCTTCTAACACAGATTGGTTTGTTCTTTTGGCAATCCAAGGCCACAGTGCCACAACAGGACTCCAGTCTTCCTTATAGGCATATGGATATTATCCTATCATAAACAACATTGAACTTCAAGACATATCTTGACACGTTCTTTTTGATGATGAATGCGACACCATTCCTCTTCAATTTGCTATTCCAGGCATAGTAAACCATGTGATTTTCAGATTCAAAATGGCCAATCACTGTCCATTTCAGCTCACTAATGCCTAGGAGATTGTTGTTTATGTGTTCCGTTTCATTTTTGACAATTCCAATTTTCCTATATCCATACTTCATACATTCCATGTTCCGATTATTAATGGATGTTAATAGTCAATAATAATAGGAACAGAAAGTGAAATGTGTGGCTAACTGCCTCCATGAACAACGGCATCTTTTGCCATGAGACCAGAAGAGCTGAATGTTGCCTGGCCACCACTACTGAGCATTTTGATCAAAGAGTCTCTAGAAGAATTTTGATTAAAAGAAGGGAAATGCAAAACAAAATTTCAAATTCCCATGAATTTCAGATTTTCTGGAGTCCCAGAGACTGGATGGACCCCCAAACCTATTGCTCTGAAATAATCTTTAAAACTGAAACCAAAAATATGCCCTGAACCAAGCCATAGTTTAACCTAACTAGTGAAGAATGTCTGCCGTAAGCATTACAATCAATTTTTAGTGAAAAGCCCATAGGAGTCAGAACTCAAGGGCACTCTCTTGTTTTTCCAGGTCTGGCTTTGACAGAGTTCAGTCTTACCATTTATCCTTTTGTTGCTGTTGTTAAGTGCCATCGAGTCAGTTGTGGTTCAAAAATGTGGTTCAAACCGACCCTTGCAGTCAAGTGCTTATCCTATAGCCCATACCAGAAGTCCGTTTTTCTTTTTAATGGACAATATTTCCATTTTCCTTCTCTGGCAGTGGCATGGAAAGAAAGAACAGCTAAGGACAGGAGGCTGGCTTACAGAATACGCCCTTTAAACATTTAAATGGTTATATATTTTTTGTTTCATATGTGTACATCAAAAATGTTTGCTTTGTTCATTTGTGAAATGCAAGATGTACATGGGGAGCCATAGGGAGGAATTTCACAATAAAAAGGTTTCAAAAAAAAAAAGATTAGATTAGATTAGATTAGTGGGGTTATGTTACTTGAGGAGGAACAACACAGAACAGGAGGTGGACAATGTTGGCACAACTCAAAGAATGTATTCTATGTCACTGAAATGTACCTGTAAACTATTGAACTGATGTATGGTTTGCTATGTGTGACATGGATTAAACTGTGTCCCCCAAAAAACACACACAAACATGGCTGGGCCATGATTCCCAGTGGTTTGACAATGCTATAATGATGCAATCACCCATAATGTGATCTGAGGTGATCAGCCTTGACTTAATGTAATTGCAAACCCTCAGTTCTATGATGTTACTGACTCTGGATCCAATCTACAGGATTCAGTTGCATCCTAAGTCAATCTCTTTGGAGATATAAATATAAAATGATTAAACAAACAAGCAGAGCTCAGAGGGAACTAGTACCACCAAGAAAGAAGAGCCTTCCAACAAGAAAGATGAGCCAGGAGTAGAGTTCATCCTTTGCACCTGGGGTCTCTGCACTGTGAAGCTCTTAGATCCAGAGAAGAGTGATACCAAGAAGCAAAGAGTTCTTCAAGGAATGTTGGGCCTCCAGATATTGAAAGGAGAGCAAGAGCTTTATTCAGAGCCGACAAAGAGAGAAAGCCTTGTCCTAGAACCAACACTCTCAATTTGGCCTTTGAGCATGTAAATTGTGAGAGATTAGATTTCTGTTCGTTAAAGGCACAACTTGTGGTATTTCTGTGATAGCAGCAGTAGGTGGCTAAAATACTATGTATATTCTCAACAATAACAAAAAAGCGAAGCACAGTTCTTTTCTGATACACATGGGTCACTGGAATCAACTTGGCGACGACTGGCTTTAAAAGGCATTCAAACCCTGAGCAGTTTAGTAAACAGCATGATTCTATCAGAGATAAAATATGATAAAGGATAAACCATGTGTATAGAAAACATCTGGAAGCATCCAGAATCTGCTAACAATGGGTAGCTTTGGGGAGTAAGACTGGGAATTAGGGAAATTGGAAATTTCACTCACAATTACTTTGTGAGTGTATCATTTTTATACCTAAAGATGTTGTTGTTGTTGTTAAGTGCCATTGAGTCAGTTCTGACCCATAGTGACCCTGTATAAGGTTTCCCAGGAGCAGCTGGTGAGTTTGAACCGTTAACCTTGCAGTTTGCAGTTCAGTGCTTATCCTACAATGCCACACCAGATGCACTGTATTTTTTTTTTTTAATCTCACTCTTTTAAATTCCATTTAAAAAACTAATAAATCTGTGCAGACCAAAGGCAAGGTCAGAGACAGGGTGGGGGTGGGGGATGTGCCATGCTGAGCACTGGGGATGCTAAGTTCATTCCTGCTGGGGAAATCCCAGAACAGACCTGTCCTGATGGATGGTGGGAAGCGAGGAGTTGGGAACCTTGGAATTCTGGGTCACTCCTTCCAGTCATGGGGCATCTCCCTCCATAAACACTATTATAATATTATTTTTGTCGGTGTGAAGTCCTGGTGTGGCATTGTAGGATAAGCACTGGACTGCTAACCACAAGGTTAGTGGTTGACACCCACCAGCTGCTCCTCAGAAATTCTATGAATGGCATTTAACAGAAACAATTGTTGTTGGAGGGTCATTGGGAAGACCTCTCAGAAAAGGGGTGTTAAGAATATCTGAAGCATGAAGGAGTGTTTGAGAAGAGTTGGGGGAAAGGAGGCTAGCAAGTGGCCTTCACATGTATACCCCAGGGTGCCCTTCCCCCCACACTGCCCAGGCCTGGAGGTCAGGAGGGCATTGTCTATAGGCCAGAGTTGAGGGTGGGGAGGACTGGACACTCCCCAAGGCTCAGGTCCAAGGGGTTCCTCAGCAGGCACCAGACTCCCTAAGAAAGACCAGCATCCACTCCACAGTCTTCCCTGCCATGTAGTCCCCAGTTAACATCAGAGGAGGGAAGCTGGTCCAGTGAGACCCCTCCCCAAGGGACTTCTGAGCTTCACCTTAGACACTTCTGGGTGGCCTCCAGCCTAGGCTGCTCTGCCCAGACCCCACCTCACGGGGGACCCCAGCTGACCTGTTTACCCTACTCTCCTGGTTGCCTGCTCTGCGAGACTCAGAATGGGGGATTCTGTCTTGAGAACTCTCCTTGTTCTTTCTACTCTGGTTTCAATGCGACAACAGCAGGGTCCAATAGTAGAGACTTTGAAACACATCCTGAGCCTCTCTGCACTCTTTTTTTTTTTTTTTAATGTTTTATTGCGTGTCTGTGCTCTTTAGCTGTGAATCTTGGGGCCCACCATGGCAGCTGCCCTGGAGGTTGGTTCTACTGGCCTGGTCCCACCCAATCCCTCCACAGAGCCCAGTCCCCAGGGCAGCCCACATGGGCTTGTGCAAGGCAGGCCCGGCAGCAGTGAAGGCCAGGTAGCACTCTGGGGATTCATTCAACAGGTTTGGCAGGGGCCCTAGGCCCTGCTGAATCCAGCAGCCTGGACCTTTCCTCAAGGGGCCCAGGGCAGCCTGGATCTGTGTTCAGGCAGATGCCCATGGGGCTTGCGTGGGCAACAATCTGTCCCAGTAGGACGTCACAGTGGGAGGCTCCAGGGCCCCTGGTTCCCAGCAGTCACTGTGTCCCTGACCACACCCACCAGCTTCCAAAACATCCAGCATCAGGTCAGGCATTCCCAGGGGCAGCCAGGGTTAGGAGAGACCAGCTCAGCACTCTGCTGGCCAGGAGTTCTGCGCCACATTGTCTCTTTGGCCTCCTAGACCCCTACGTCTGACTCCTGGGGTCTATACTTAGTCTCCACCTGCCCTCAGGCCCCCACTCCTAACCTGTTACCCTATTGGAACACACCTTGCATCACCTCCCAGGTGACGGTGGGTGGCCTCCGGGACAGGGTTCTTGATAAACAGCCCTCAGAACCACCAACCTTCTGGTTAGTAGTCAAGCATTTTAACCACTGCACTACCAGGGCTCCCTTCAGGCCCCAGGGGCAGGGTTGGAGCTGAGCCTTCAAGATCAAAATCCCACCCAGGACTGAGGGGCTGAGATCCCGGGTGCTGGGGTCTGGGCGGGCCTGGGTGGGTCTTGCTGCCCTCCCTCTCCACACTCAGATCAGAAGGTAAATATTCCATAGACCTGACCAGGAGGCAGGGTGGGTATGCATGGGAATCTGCCCGTTATTGCTACCACTGGCCCTAGCCCAGTTCAACCCCTGCCATCTCCAAAGCTAGTGGACACTTCAGAAGGGGGCTAAGGGTTCTGGGGGCATGGATAGTGGTTGGGGTCTTGGGCCATGCTATGGATCTGGGTCAGGGGAGCAGCTGGCAAGAAAGCATGGGGAGTGGGCAACAAAGCAGGCAGCAGAATCCTGAAATGCTCTGGACACCCAGTCATGGGAGCCAGTCTTGCTGGCTCCAGGTTGTTCTAGCAACCTGGCACCAGGTGCTGAGCTGGGACTTAGGGGCCCAGGGGTTGTGGGGTGGTTCCTTCCAGGGAACCAACCCCACCTGGCCCCAAGTTACTGAAAGCTTGAGTCTCCTCAGTACAGTGCCTGCTCTGGACTCTGCTCGAAAACTTTTGTTTCAGTGGGGGCACGGGGAAGAGGGTGACAGCTACAATCCTGAGCTTCACAGAAGTGGAAGGGGGTGGGGCTTGTGGCTGAAGGGGAGGAGAGACCTAAAAGCAGAGCTGAGTGAGTGATGGAGAACCTGTGGCAGAGATCCCTCTGCTTCCCAGGATCCCAGGTGGGCCTTCATGTCTCCAGAATCCAACCCCTGCCCCTGCCCACTCACCTACCTCCCACTGGCCAGTCCTGTCCTGCCTCCTAGCTGCTAGCCTCTAAGTGAGGCCCATGCTGGCACCTCCTACAGCTCCTTGGTTCCTGCCTGGAACTCCTGCCACACAGACTCTTCTGTCTTTAAAGGCTCATCCTCTTTCTAGGAACACAGGGACCCCTGGAGTGGGTCACCCTCTGTGCCTTGGGCCCCTGCCTGGTCTAGGGAGCCCTTGAAGCTATACATTCTGGAATTCCCAAGCCCTACCCAGGAAAGAGTCTATTCCTATCCACCCTCCACCCTCTTCCCAGAGCCCAGCTCTTCCTAATGGCAGGCAAAGCTGGTATGGGCAAAAACTACCTGTCTGACAGCGGGAAGGCCCAAAGGAAATCTAGGCCCAAGGCGCTGCTCCTGCCAGTCTCCTTATTGGGACACTGGCCACTCACCACAGCCCCATGCGGCTCTCCAGGCTGTCTCACATCCACATCCCCTCCCAAACCCTCTTTTGGGAGCTGCCACTGGCTTCTGTTTTCACCTGGATGTCTAACAAGCATAGAAAGATACAGAAAAGAGCAAATTTTTTTCCCTTCTCCCACTGTTATGAATTAAATTGCATCCCCCTAAAAAGAAATATTGAAGTCTGGTGGGGTGCTATAGGATAAGCACTGGATCACAAGACTGTTATGAACTGCAAAGTCGGTGGTTCAAACTCACCAGCCACTCCTCGGAAACTCTATACAGGGTCACCATGAGTCGGAACCAACTCTACGACACTTAACAACAACTCCTGTACCTGTGAACAGGACCTTATTTAGAAATAGAATTTTTTTTTTTTTTGATGATATGAAAATATTGTCAGTTAAATTAGCCAAAGTGAGATGAGTCCTAGCCCTAATCCCTCTGGGTCCTCCCTGCCTTATGAAAGAGGACAGACATGGAGACAGAGAATGGAGAGGCAATGCTACATGAAGGTGCAGCTGCAATCAGCAAAAATAATTCCAAGATAGTCTGAAGCCACCAGAAGTCTGGAGATAAGTAATAAACAAATCTTCTGATCCCTCTGAAGAAATTGACATGGCAGATACTCTGATTTGGATCCCAGGCTCCAGAACTGAGAGAATACAAATCTGTTCTTTAATGCCACCCACATTATAGTACTTTGTTGTTCTTCTGTTTGTGTTTTGTTATTATTTTTTTTAAATATATTGTAAATTAAAAGTTTACAGAGCAGATCATCAGTTTTACATTCACCAAATCATATGTAGTTGTTGCTAGGCGCTGTCGAATCAGTTCCAACTCATAGCAAACCTTTGTGCAACAAAACTGTACTGTTTTGCGCCATCCTCACAATTGTTGTTACACTTGAGCCCATTACTGCTGCTACTGTGTGAATCCATATCCTGGAGGAGTCTTCCTCTTTTTTGCTGACCCTCCACTTTACCAAGCATGACGTCCTCCTCCTGGGGCTGGTTCCTCCTAAAAACATGTCCAAAGTATAAGAGACAAAGTCTCCCCATCCTGGCTTCCAAGGAGCATTCTGGCTGTACTTCTTCCAACACAAATTGGTTTGCTCTTCTGGCAGTCCATGGTACTTTTAATATCATGACTTGGGTCACACCAGAAATCACCATTTATGTTGCTTAAAAAAGGTATTTGCAATGAACAAATCATTGGCCTTGCAAAATTCTATCATGTGATCTCCTACATTATTTCTATCACCAAGGCTGTATTTTCCAACACAAGTAATTATCAATACATATTAATTGCATGTTTGATCAATTTCAGACTGAAGAAGTTGGTAGAATTCTTCAATTTCATCACCACTAGCTTTAGTGGGTGGTGTGTAAATTTGAATAATAGTTCTATTAACTGGTCTTCCTTGTAGGCATATGGATATTATCCTATCACAGATAGTGTTGAACTTTAAGATAGATCTTGAAATGTTTTTGACGATGAACGTGACACCATTCCTCTTCAATTTGTCGTTCCTGGCATAGTAAGCCATGTGGTTTGTCAGACTCAAAATGCCCAATACCAGTGTATTTCAGCTCACTAAGGCCTAGGTTATTGATGTTTATGTGTTCCATTTAAAATACTTACTGATGAAGACCAAAGACCACATCTTTAGGTATGGGCTGCACCTCAATGTAAAGAAAACAAAAATCCTCACCATTGGGCCAGTAAATAACATCAAAATAAATGGAGAAAAGATAGAAGCTGTCACAGACTTCATTTTGCTCCGATCAACCATCAATATTCATGAAAACAGCAGTCAAGAAATCAAAAGCATTAGGCAAATCTATTGCACAAGACTTCTTTAAAGTGTTCAAGAGCAAAGATACCAGTTTTAGATGACGGTGCACCTGATCCAAGTCATGATATATTCAACAACCTCATATGCAAGGAGCTCTGGTAGCGTAGTGGTTACAAATTGGGCTGCTAACCTCAGGGTCAGCAGTTCAAAACTACCAGCTGTTATGTGGGAGAAAGATGAGGCTTTCTGCTCCCGTAAAAATTTACAGCCTCGAAACCCTGTGAGTCAGAACCAACTCCATGGCACACAACAACATATGCATGTGAAAGTTGGACAATGAATAAAGAAGATCATAGATGAATTGATACACCTGAGTTATGGTGCTTGAGGAGAACATTAAAAGTACCATGCCAAAAGAAAAAACAAATCTATATTGGAAGAAGTACAGCAGAGAGTGCCTTAGAAGCCAGGATGGCCAGACTTGGTCTTTCATGCTTCAAACATATTATGAGGAGGGACCAGTCCCTGAAGAAGGATATCATGCTTGGTTAAGTGACGGGTCAGTCCAAAAGAAGAAGACTTTCAACAAGATGGATTGGCACAGTGGATGTAGCAATGGGCTCAACGTAGCAACAATTGTGAAGTTGGCACAGGACTGGGTGGTGTTTAGTTCTGTTGTGCATAAGGTCGCTATGAACTGGTACAGACTACACAGCACCTAACAACAGCAACAACATTAATGCATGGGTGAGATGATATCTCATTGTTGTTTTGACTTGCATCTCACTGAATCAGAACCGACTCAATGGCACTTAACAACAACAAAACAAATAGCTAGTGATCGCAAACATTTCTTTATGTTTGTTGGCCACCTGAGTATCTTCTTTACTGAAGTGTCTGTTCATGTACTCTACTCATTTTAAAAATTGGATTGTTTTCCTCTTGTTGATGCATTGCAGTATTCTACAAGTTTTAGAGAGTAGTCCTTTGTCTAATATGTCATTTCAAAAGTTTTTTTCCAAGTTTGTGGTTTCTCTTTTTACTCTTTGGGTGAAATCCTTTGATGCACTTAAGTGCCTAATTTTAGGAGATCCCAGTTATGTATTTTGTCTTTTGTTTGTGTATTTTCAGTTATGTTTGATAGTACATTTATGCATGTTTCAGAGCCCCTAAGTTTGTCCATCCATTTTCATTGATGATCTTGATAATTGCAGGCTTCATATTTAGGTCTTTAATCCACTTTGAGTTCATTTTTTATATATGATGTGAGATA